GAACAGGTGCTGGCCACACCAGCAACTTGGCAGCCCCCACCTCCACAAGCTGAACAGTAATTCAGTCTCTCTCCACCTTTCCCTTCTCACTCTCCAGAGGGGTGGCAGTCACCAAGGATGCCCTCAAACACGCTCTGTTCAGAAAACATAACTTTATTATTAGTTGCAATATACATTGTATTCCTTTAAGAATCCTATACTTGTATATGGTTTTTCCCACTGAAAATACATGTGTATGCATATATGTTTTTTTATATGTATATATATATATAAATGTACTTTATTGAACTGGAACACAACAGAACAAAGAGAGACAAGCCCAGAAATTACTTGGAAAAGTAAATGTGGCCTCCATGGGTTTGTGCTGGCAGTGTGCTAAGGTGAGTGGTATAAAAAGAACAGGCTAAATAGAAAATGGGATGGGTTAGGCAGTGGGCAACGGTGTCTCAGTGCTACAGGTGGTGATATATACAGTAGTTACACGTTGCTATTGCTCAGTCGTGAGTGCCACCTATTCTCAAAGGCAGACTGGTTTCTGGTGCGGCTCCGCACAGCAACATTCGTAAGGCCGGCTGTGCTCCCTGCAAATGGTACCTGCCATTTGAAAATAGAGTTTAATTACATTTCCCTTGGCAGCAGCTCTGCTCATTGCTAATCTGGTCAGTAAAGGAAGAATTCCTCTGGGGCATGGCGAAACCTGACTGGGTCAATATAAAGTAGCTTACAGGCAGGGTAAGGGAGCAGCAGCAGCCGTGAGAGCTGGAGCGCGCAGGCTGAGCTGCAGCTGGTGAAAATCAGCATCTCAACTGCCGCAGGTCGATTTGCTTCTGGCTCCTTTCCTCGGCACCTGCACATGGGCTGCTCCCTCCGCTCGGCAGCCTGCCTGGAGGTGTGTGCTGCCAGGGTCTGTTTTGGGGTACAGGCAGCTTTATGGGCTGTTTTGGGGTAGGTTTTCTTGAGTTAATTGCCTCAGAAGATGAAAACTCTCCAGAAAACTAGCTGAGGGTGGTAATAATCCCTCCTGTGCCATAGCTTGGGGTTTATTTGCCTTTTTTTTTTGTTCTTTCAACTTTCTGTTAACCTGATTTTCAAACACAGCTTTCCCAAGCCACACGTCATTGCTGAGTTTAGCTAGACAGAGGGACTAGTCTTCCCCAGATTAATGTAATTGGTCTCCTTTTATTTCTGCAGAGCTGCAGATGTTTCTTGGGTGAAAGGACACATTTTAGCAAAGGCACTGACCACCGACTTTCCTCTGCCTCAAGCCAGGTTGGAGGGAGCAGAGGGGCTCTGACCTTCCTGCTGGAGGGTCACGTTCCTCCCCCCCCCGCAAAGTGCTTGTCAATTTGGGAAGGGATGTAAAGAATGTGGGCATTGATTTACTCCTCCTGACTTCCTCGAGAAAAGTGCTTTCAAAAATCCCATCCTTAAGTCATCATCTTGTTCCTACCCCCGCAACGTCTGTCACCACTGGATCACGCCTACTTGATTCTCCTTCCAGCTGAAGAAGCAGGTGAGGTTTATCACCGCTGTAGTGTTTCTCTTCTTGCTGTCTTTCCCTAGCAGCATCTGGCAAGGAGAGATCTTGCTCAGAGAAAAGAAGTTGCAAGGAGCCAGGCTGCTGGAAGAGGCAGAGCAGGTGACCTGTGCATCGCCTCCTGCTCATAGTGAGCTTCACCAGAGGTTTAGCAGGGGGTGGTGAGAACCGCCAATTGCACTGGAATAATATTTGAATCAAAAGCTGGCTTCGCTAGAAGAGCTCGTTCCTCTCTTTAGAGGCAAGAAAATAAAAGCGTGAAAGTGCCTGGATCAACCTGTGTAAAAGAGCTTTCCTGACTCGGATGCCTTTGGGCAATCACAAGGACATAACCTGCATCCACACAGCCTTCATCCATCCACGCTGCTGGGACCAAATGGGACTGAGCCCTGACTCTGACTTTTATTGCACAGAGGTCCCTTTCCTCAATCTTGCCAGAACTGGCTTCAAAGGGAGGAGAGGTGGGTGATCCCCCACGACTGTCACAGTGGGATCCAGTCCTTGGGGACACAGCGATGGTTCCCACTGCTGCCAGGGAAGGCAGTAGGAGGGCTGGTTTGTCACTGGGAGAGAAGCCCCACTCTCATAGTGCAACATTTGCAGGCATTTTCTTCTTGCAAAATTGGAGGGAGAGGTGCAGCTTTTGCTGTACTGATACGATGCCTCTGCTCCATAGCTAGGTCTAGAGCCTTTCCTTTCACCCTGCTGCTACCAGAGTCACCAGCCGTTCTAGCATTTGGCTTGTCTGCCCCAGTCCACAAGCTCCTCCGTGGCAGCTTGTACACCAGTGCCTCTGGATGCCCCCAGTGCAGCAAGGCAGATGTTGGATGGGTGATTGCACCCTATGCTCTGGCTCCAGCTCCCCACGTTTCCTACGGGGTGAGCTCAGCCCCTCTGCGCAGAGATGTGCCCCTGAGGTGGCTGTGCTGATTAGGAGGAGACTGGGATGAGCCTGGATCTCTGTTGATGCCGCGGGTTGCTGAACTGGTGGACCATGAGGATACTGAGTGCTATTCCCCACCCACCAGATGCTCTGTGCTTCTCTCTAGCATTATTTTCAGGACATTTTCCAACTGATGAAGGAAAACAACAGATTATGACTGTAAAGTTATGATGAGAGTACTGGATCCCGGTAGGACAACATTATTCCTTGCCAAGAGCCTGAATAATTAACCCTTTCTTTAGACTCTCCTCTCATTTCTTCTCCAGCTCCCAGCCACCTTTGTATACATCATATATTATATTACTATATTCTCTTATAATTTTGACTTTGCTTTTTCAGTTTCAGTAGCGCAAGTGATTAATTCCAAAAGGAAAAAAAAAAAGAAAAAAAAGTAGGGGAAGGAAAAAAAGCAGCCCCTAGGAATATTTACAGAATAGTTCATTTTGCAGAGGAGATGAGGTTTGGCATTGGGAAAAGCATGGATTTTGAATGTGCTAAGTGGGTTTGATTCCACATTCCTCCTCCCCGCTCTGGGATCCTGCTCAGATGATGAAAATTAAAAAGCTGTTCAACACGCTTTTCCCAAGTGCAAACTGGCCATGCAGGGCAGAGGAGGAGGCTGTCTTCATGCTCTCCCCTGGCCTGGACTACTTACAAAAGCAGTATCCAAAGGGGCCTGACCTTGAAAACCAGCCTTTCACCTTCAGGGAGCTGTCAGCTCCATCTTTAGCCTCTCCTTGTTACCCAGCACTTTTGTTACTGCTCTCCTCTCAAGGACCAGGGCTTTTAAGGGATTGGATGGTGAGGACAAGGAAGGGACTGTGCGCACCTGGAATCAAAACCACGAAGTGGAAGATACTGACTTCTTTAACATACCAAAAATTATTGCAGTATAAATACACCCCTGTCACCCCAGCAAAAGCAGAGAAGAGGAAGTGGTGGGGGAAGTTTGGTGGGTGAGGGGTGTTTCAGAAAAGTCACCTGACCTGGAAAACTTTGATGGCTGCTGCCACAGCTATTGGTTCTTCTCCAGATTAGGGCAATGGCCGTTTACATCAGTGAATAATGCCCCACCCTGTGCCTCTCCCCCCACCCTTCCTTATGCTGTGCATGGTAAAATATCCCAAGAGTCCCTCCACATTAGATCTTTTTCAGAGAGACTTCTGTTAAGAAAAGCATCTATTCCCAGCAAAACCCGTTAGGAGCTGCAAAACCAATTGCTCTTAAGTATGGCTGGTTTCCCCAGCGGCTGAGACCTTCTGGCCAATCCATGTTAGTATTTCTGTGAAGACAGAGGTAGAGACCTCGGGCAGCTCTTTGTGGAGGGCATGATAGGCTTCCTCATACACCTGCAACCAGGGAGAGAGCAGGGATTAGCACAGAAAAAAAATAACTCTGCATGAACAAAACAGCTTTCAGTACCCTCTTGTCAACACCCACAGGTCCAACACGTCCTGCCCACACCTTGTCAGTTTTTTTTCCTAGATGTGGCAGGTTATGAAATCAGATGCCACTGGTGGTGCTGGCCCTCTGCGAGCAGGATGGCATTGGCCTTGCAGCTCCACACGTTACCGAGCACCCTGCTGCCCTTTGGGAGGATAATGCATGTCCCAGCCCCATCCATTTCTTGCTTCTGATCCTGCTAAGAAGGAGGAAATACTTATCATGCCCTTGGAGTTTAAAGGACAATGGGGGATGTTCCCATCATGCCTTGTGCAATTTCACTCCTTTTATGCCCAGACTATCCAGTTATTTTTCTAATGACAAAAGCTTTCCCTTGGTCTCCCTGTCTCTCTTTCAGGCTCATTCATGTGCTAACAATTGGTTAATCAGCTGTGGCTCTCTTGAAATGAGCAGATGTGAAGTGGCTTTTGTTGTGCAGCACTTTGGGAAGGCCCCCTGTACCTTTGCGCGCTGGGGCGTGAAGTAAGGCTGGTGTTCACATAGTTGGCATTGTCCAGAAGAGCTTTTGGGGTCAGCACGTTACCTGCTTATGAGCCTCGCTCTACTTCTACACCAAGCTGCTTCATGTGGAAGAGACCCTCTGGGTACACAACTGCTGCTGGGGCAGGTCTTGAGGTCACCCACCATCCCCTGCCTGCAGCCAGGCTGAGCTGGTGAAAGGCCACCACACTGTGCCCGGGGAGGGCTGCACTTGGACCACCTCCTGGTGAAAGGGGCTGTAGTCTGTTCGGTCTCACCAACGCATCAGCCCTGCTTTGCCTCAAGTTCTCGGGAGCTCAGCAGGCTCCCTACCCCTCATAATCACTCAAGCTCAGGCCAAAGCTGACAGGATAATACTCGAAAAATCAAGAAACCCAGATGACCTTGAGTGTTTTGTCCTGACTCTGCACCGTGTCAATCAGTAAATAGGACCCTTTGATATCGCAGAGCTTGTCAGAAGAGCCGTGTAGCACCAGAATGGGCAAAGTCAGCTTGGGCAGAGCTCGTTCAATTCTGGCAATGGCATTCATCAGCTGGATGACGAAGGAGACCTTCATGCCACCATGGTAGACCAAGGGATCAGATGTGTAACACTCCACCTGGCAGGGAGGGAAAGGTAATTTAAGGTTAGCAATTATTTCACGCAGAAAAGACAAAGCAATCAGCCTGGCAATGAGGAGTCTCTTCCCTTGGCTTGCACGGTCATTTCCTACTCTGTCAGGACATCCTGCCACCAGAGTCAAGGTCAAGGTCTTTACTGTGGCTCACACAACCTGGCTTACTCCTTGGTGTGTGTTTCTCTCTTACATCACTAGAAAATACTCAAGGCAAAGCTTTTTCTGTGGGCAAACAACCAGTGTCAGACAAAGACTGTTCCCATGGGGGCACCTGCCTGCATCTTTCTCCTCTGCCATGTCCTTCTGTCACTCAAATGTGACATCTCTTCTGCAGAGGGTTCTTCAGACTGTGTTACTTGAAAGCTGATACTCTCTAGGTCCTTATCCTCTCTGCTGAGGGCTCAGAGATTCCTTCCTTTCGTCTTCCCTCTCTGGGGATGAAGACTACGACCTACACCTACAGACTGCAAAGCACTCTCAGGCTGAGGGATCCTCTCAGGGTGCAAAGGGTGCACAGACGACGCAGCATTAGGTGACAGGCAAAACCAAAAAAGACCCACGTCGACAACTTGCTCAGCCAGACTGTGAGAGGATAAAAATGTACAAGAGCTGGTGCGGAAAGTTGCTGGGAATGAGTAGTTACCGCAGCAGGCAAATCTACAGTAAATATTTGTATACTGTACATGGAGACGGCCCACACAGCCACTGCCATCTCAATATTTGCCAGAATGCTTTGATTATGGGTTGGTCTCTGGCACAGCCTCCAGTTTCTTCCAACCCTGGCAGATGTTTATAGAAATGATGGTTATTTATAGGTCAGCCGAAAACCAGTCTCCTTCATACAGGCAGTGGGGCCCGTTCAAATTCCCCCTCGTTTTACAGAGACTTGAGGCCCTCTTGCTGCTGCATGTATGTGCCCCGAGGGGGCCACGGGTGGGAGGTGACCCACGAGGCCACCCCCTGCACACGTAGCTCTGCACAGACATGCACTGTAGCAGGATTAAGGCCATCATTGTGCTTCAGCCTCTGTGCGAGATCGCAGCTACTCTGAAGTGAGGGGCAGATTTTGGCACAGAGACAGACGTCTCTCATCATTAGGATCTTATGCACAGCATCTCCCTTTCAAAGAAACAAGTGCCCATGCACACTGAGGGACTGGAAAACACTGGTTGTAAGAGGCCACTGCAAAGATGCATTGTGGTTAAGGTGAAAGGATCCACTCGTAAGACATGCTGAGCATCGTCCGCTCCTAAAGGCCCTCGGAGGCAGAGAGGCTGAACAGCATGTGGCTCTCTTGGCTCCACACGGATCCTTCCAGTGCCCAACCAGCTTGTTGGTGCAGAAACCCCCACCCACGTCCTCCATCCCCTACACTGCTCAGCCTGTCTGTCTGTCATACCCTGCCTGCTCGGCAAAGTACTTTGGAAGGGCAAGGAGCTGCCGCTGTTTAGAAAGAAGCACCCTCTCGGGAGTGTGCTCATGGGAAAAGTTCAGCTTTGACTTCCAAAACACCAACCGCCCGGTGTGTTGTTGCTAGCTGTCCTGTTAACGGCTGGGTCTACCCTGATATTTTCAGCCAAACATGTTGGCTTTTCATCAGGATTTTGAGCAAAACTACCATGTTGCACTGGCTACTTAGCAACTGGCTTCAGCCTAATCTGGGAGTTACTTGCCTGGATCTATGTCACAGTGCTGCGCTAAAGCAACACAGCTTTGAGATGCGTTTCTTTCTTTAATTTTGGGGTTTTTTTTTAACTGAAGGCAACAAATGAGGGACTTTGTAGGAGGTGGAAATGAGGAGGGGTGAGCGGATGGATTGACAGAAATTCCCTTCCCATGGAGTAAAACAATGTTGATGAATTAATGTGAGCTGGCCCCCTCCCCAGCCCCATAAATGCGAAGAGAATGACCTAATGGGTTTCTTTCTTTCTCTTGTTCTTTTCTGAAAGAACAGGGTTTTTTGTAGCTACGGAGCAGCCAACAAATATTTTTGTATAGACGATGGAAGGGGAAAAAATAATAACCCAGTCCCAATCCAGATCGATCAGGACTGCAGGGGGAGGATCCTGTTCCCAGTCAATGAACAGGAATCCTTCTCAGAGTTAACGTTCAGTGCATGGGGCGAGTACAAAGCAGCAGCTTGCTGGGGAAAGAGGGAACGATAGGGAATGGGCTTTATATTCTGCAAGCTATAAATGGCAAACCCTGCAAGCCCAGAGCTCCCGTTGGCACACCGAGCTCTGAGGCAGCGGGGGCGAGGGAGGGAGGGTGACCCCAGGAGAGCTGCGACTGCTCCCAGCCGCGGTCCCGCAAATGCTCTGCAGAGTCCATCACAACAGCTCTTTTTTCTCTTTATGTAATTCTAAGACAGAAGCAACGATCAGGGCGTCTGCTCCACTGCAATGCCCTGCTTAGAGATCTGCACCTCCCCTTTGCATTTGGCAGAGCAGTAAATTCATTATAAGGTAATTACAGCCACATCCTATGTTGACTCTGCAGGAGCAAGAGTAAAGTCAGGGGGACTGCTCCACTGAAAGCAAGGCAGCTAACAAAGATTAACAAGGTAAAGGGGTGCCTGCTCCTGTGATGTTATTCCTCCTTGGAATAAGACAACTGGGTTGGTTCTTGCTCTCTTTTGTGTCTCTTGCATGTGATATAGCACGAAGATCAAACAAGCATTTCCATACCATCCTGTGTTTCAGTCCCTACACCCTGAGGACAGCCTGCTGGGAACACAAACTCATCAGGAAAATCTTGGACGATGTCCCAAAAATATTTCTATAGAAAGTTGGTCTGGCAGGAGAACGTGTTTAACATATAAATAATGGATATTTCCAGCACATTGTGTGCTTTGAAGCTGAGCGTCTTGAGTCCAAAAGGAGGGCAGAGAGTGGGTTAGAGGCAGCAGAGGACCAAAATGCTCTGTTGCCTTCAGTATGTGCCTGGAGCCTCAAATCCTGGTGTTGGAAAATGGTCAGGAAAGCGCTTTATGTCGCAGTGCACAGCTGCTGTATCAGCTGTATGTTCACTTGCAGGTGTGCAGGCAGCACAGCAAGGAGGGAGTTGTGGTCTCATTTTGAAGACTGCTCCGTTATAAGCACTCTAATGAAGCAGACCTACACTTTTATCCACTGCAAAAAGGCTTTTCCTTGCTCCACAGAAAAGGTAGAGGAAAAACAATGCTCAAAGGAAGCTCTTGAGTCTTGGAGCATCATAGAGCAGAGGAAGCAGCAGCAATTATTTGGGTAGGAAGACAACACACACACACACACACAAAAGCATTTATTATAAACTATGTCCAGCAGTTGCTGTGGTGATTCCTATCACCCTAACATGGAGATGCTCAGTCAATATTGCACACCACATTAAAGGAGCTGACTGACACTTTTCTAAATGCATTATTACTATTCAGGATGTCTCCACATCATCACTTTTCTCCTGTAAAGCTATTTAGTGCAGCATTAGCACCTTCCAGCAGAGGATCCAGCTGCCCTTACAGAAAAGCTGCAGCACAGAGTCCAAGTGCAGAAGGAGGCAGAGGCCCACACGTCCCAGCCACGCTCACTCTTCAGGTCATGGGTAACACTCCTAAATCCCTCTCCTGCTCCAGAGCACTGATTGCTTTTATCCTCCAGATACAAATGCAGAAGTGAAAACTTGCTTCTGTGTGATTTTAGTGAATTGGTTTTCTAACTGCAACCTTTTCTCTGAATTATATGCAACAAGTTTTGGCAGCTGAATATAATTAAGAACAAGTTTCTACAGCTTGACTGGAATCAGCCTTCTTCCTGAGTATATATTTTGTGCAGCTTCATATGGTACTTCAGAAACTATGTCATATGGTGCATCAGTGGATGCACATGAACTTGCTGAAGATAGTCCCCACAGTTTCCTAGGAACTCTCTCCCATCTTCCTTTCCTCAGCTCCTTGAAACTTTCTGTCTTCAACCCGTTGAAATGTTATGCTCCATTCACAGGTAAGTGAACTGAAAGTCATTTGACCAAAGAAACCTCCTTGGCAGAGCCAAGAAATAATCCTGAAAGCCTTGAGGCTATTCTGGGAGACTCTTTACTTTCCAGTTTACCGAATCATTGAGTTGAAGAGCTGGGATACGCTGCAGCCGAATGCACTGAGCTCATGCAGCTGCTGATGTGTCTTTGCTCCTTTCAGTCTTCCACCTCGAGTTGAGGTGGCTCCCCAGAGGAAGGCAATTTATTAACTTCTACTTAAGATACCAACTGCTGCACGAACGGCAGGAAGAATTACAGCATCTGTCAGCGAGAGGCAAGCTGACATGAAACCACAGGAGCAACTGACCACTACACCAGTGAAGCTCTCGTGCTTTTGAGACACCCTTGGGTGCCATTTTCTATGATTCAAGTTGATTTCTGAAATGTATCAAGTTCTGGGTCCAGCCAAAGCACGTTCATTCACTTCCAGTTTGTGTCTCCCTCTTTTCACTCCTCCCACAGCAGTGACAAAGAAAAACTCCTGTTAGCTGTTGTCACAGCAGTTGCAATGATATCTGGTTTTGCCAGTGATGGCACCAATAGGCTGCAACAGCTTTTACTAGACGTGGGCATGACTGGGAGAGGAGTCTCAAGCTGTGGTGACACTACAAAACCTTCACTCTGGAACAGTTCCTTGCAGCCACGGCGCTGGGGCTGGAGCTGAGTTGTTACAAGGGCTGCCTCAGTTGCAGCTCTTTTAAGTATTATTCTCATGTGCAGCAAGAATGTGTCATTTGTTTGGAAAGGCTGTAGCAGAGCCACCATGTGATCCAGGAGACCTTGTACCAAGGTCTTTGGGGCAAGCATGCTCTTCTCTGTTTGAATGCATTTGGCACAACGTGAAGGAAAGCAGGAAAACTGATCTCCAGCACTGCAGGGCTTTGCACGGTTTCCCTGCAAAGAGCAGGGTTGGAAAAGCTGACTTTAAGCTGTGTGTTTGCAACCTGTATGAGCTGTTTTTTGTGGCTGCTGGTGCAGCAGAGACAAACCTGGTTCTCGTGTGCTCTCCACCACAGCCGCAGCACAGGTCTCTGTTAGGTGTTGTACCCAGGGTAGCTCTGGGTGCAAGGCATGCTGAAGGGAAGAACAGCTGATTTCCTTCAGTTCCACTGACTTTAGAGATTTTTCACCTATTTACACCGAGCATAGATCTTGCCCTCATGATTTAGCAAAACACTTGTGGGGTTTATTTTAAGAGAAATGGCAGGACTGGGACAAGACTATGCAATGACTTTAAATAGCATTAAGGTTCTCACCTCCTTCTTGTTCCGGGAAATTGCATTTGGATCTATCGATCCCAGTGACAGGTTTGGGAGGACAAAGTTGAGCACTTTCGCTGCAAAAACCTGCGTGAGAGGAAAGCAAGCAGATAAAGAGCTAGTTATAGCAAGAGAGATAACAGAGGCCCAAATCCTGAGCTGATGGGAATCAGCACGCAAGTTAAATAGTTGAGAAATGTCAACTGACACCAGAGAAAGTTCTGTCCTATATTTAAAACACTTCTCTTAAAGAGAAAGTCTTTAAACTGCTTCATCAGGGAGTGGGTGTGCTAGTCTGAAATGCCGTCAGCTGTCTGTCCACATGCAACATCACAACTTCATTGTACTTCGGCTTTTTTGAATTCACAAATTAATTTCTAAAAAGGCCACTTTTATAAGGGCTGGGTTTTGCCATTTTACTGCCCTTTCCTTGCTGCCACAGCTCTGAATTCAGGCTGCAGGGCCTAAATGATGCTTGGTGCAATTTGCAGTAGTTGCCTAGGCTGCACTCTTTTTGATAAGCATATTCTCCAAGGAGCCTGTAAATAAACAACAGCAAAATGTGCGTTGGCTAAGAAAATCCATTGCTCACTTGTCTCCTGGGAATGAAACACAAAAGCATTCAGCAGCCCAGGCTCAAAACCGCTGGCAAAAGGAAGGGCAACATCTTTCATTTCAATAGCACTACAAGCACGTTGATACCAGGGTTCTGCTCTGATCTTTGATAGCTGCCTTTAATTAAGCGATCGCCACTAAAGTCAGAAAATATGCAATTAGTGTTTGTTGGTCTGTTTAATGGCCCTTTCATGTTCAGAGCTAATGCTTGCAGGTAGGCTGTCACCTACGTTCTCTGTTTCTGCTGATACACAATCCCTCCTGAAGCGTGCCCTGACATTTCACACTGCAGATGATACATGACAGGGTAATTATGATATTGGAGGAATAACGCAAGGTTGAGTCAAAGGCATCCAGGAGTGAAAAGCACTAAAGACTCACAGCAGATTTGAGAACACGTGTGTGCCTTGGGGTGGATATGACTACTGCCACTGTCACTGTCTTCCAGTACATTGAGCCCCTCACTGGCTATGGCATTGTGTCAGCAATGACAGGCTGGACAGGCTTTTGTCAGATTCAGTGTGGCCATTTTTCTGTTTGAATGACACGTTTTTATCATCCCAGCCCCACAGCCTACCAATGACCTTGTAGCACACCCTTAAAATTCAGATGTAACTTTGGTGATTCTTGGAGGCAAGGTCATAGCCAGGAAAATCAAGTTTTATGTTATAATAAAAAAATCAAAAGGTTGCCCTCGGCCTTCACTGATTTTTAAGTGCTGTGATACAGTTTGTGACATGCTGGACTTTAATTAAAAGCCATGTTGTTGCAATGCTGGGTGGCAAGACTTTGGAATAAATTGCCCAGAGATGTTGTGGCTGCCCCCTCCCTGGAGGTGTTCAAGGCCAGGTTGGACGGAGCCTTGAGTAGCCTGATCTAGTTGAGAGGCGTCCCTGCCCATGACAGGGAGGTTGGACTAGATGATCTCTAAGGTCCCTTCCAGCCTAGGCCATTCTGTGATTCTATGATATTTGATAGATTTATCTCCCTGCTGGTTTGAAGTGGAAGTGTTGGTTCTTGAAAGAATTGTTGCCAAATGATCAAGAATGGGTGATGCAATGATGGAGTTATTGCTGGTTGGGCTGAGGATGACGCTGCTGTGCAGAGGTTATTGTTGCTGCTCAGGGCCACCGCAGGTGTGCAAAATACTAACAGTGTTCGAATCCAGCCCTTCCTTGTCTATGAAAATATCTTGGAGTATGATTGAAATAGATGGCTGAATATTGTCTCTTGACTGGAAGCGTAACTTTAAGCGGATTTCATGTTTTTTTGCATCAGTTTAACTATATGGATGCTTTGCAGTGTAGACACTTTTCTTCTGAATGGAGCAATCCCTGTCCCTTCCACACCTCCATGTGCTTGTTTCTCTCTGCCATGATCCCTGCTTGCCAAACTGCTTGTGTGGATACCCTTTCATTCATTTCAGCTACAAATGAGCTGCATTTATGAAAATGTTTGAACCGGCTAAGCTAGCCAGGCTCATTTGACTGAGATGACAAGTCTCTAGAAGAGACACTGTGGTGAGCTACAGAGATCAGGTTGAGAGCAACTGGACGGTGTTATCAGAGGGGTATGATATGTATCAGATACGGTGTCTCCACACCTGGATACCAAACCAGTTCCTGTATGGTTGTGTGAACCTGATGACTAACATCTCCGCTAAACTGGACAGACCACAGCAAAGCCAAAATAAGAGGTTTTGATATAGGACTTTCTTCCAGTTTGACTATATCTTTAGAAACAGTCCTCCACACTGTTAGTGGGTGCAGATTCAGGCTGAATGATTGGGAGGTTCAAGTACCAGAACAACGTGATGCCCAGTCAGGTTGGAAAGCAATAAATCAGAAGGAGGCGAAACGGAAAACACAAAAAGTAAAGACAGAATATTGTGTACTGAGTCCTTAAGGAATAACTGAGGGTTAGTACAGGATTAATCACTAGGAAATGTTTCTTAAGGGATTGTCCTGCCCACCTGATTTTAAAGCATCTGATAGCATTTGATAGTGGGAAATACTTTTATTACCTGTGCTCTGCTCTTTGCCAGTATATGTGACTCCCATCTCTTTGCATCCTTTGAAATTTTGAGAATTCAGAGATGAATATTGTTCAGATTGATTGAGAAGAAAAGGCGGAAGGCAGCAAGATCCCTCTCCACTGGATGTGCAACTGGATGCTTCTATCAGGATACAGGATTTACAGGGCATTGATGAAATTGTTTCTGCAAAGCGCATAATTTGATTTCCCTGCATGTAGTCTGCAATGGTGCTGCCTTTCTGCTGCTGCCAGGGCTGGTTCTGCAGCGAGGGAAGGTATTTCTCAGACAGACTGAAGGACCCAGGGTGTGATCTGGCCCACTGTTATTGTTGCCTTGAGCCCTCGTTTGTTTAGGCCAAGGTAAATTCTTGCTCAGCTGGAAACTTCCCCAGCAAAGCGATGAATGCAGTGGTCCTTGGGAAATGGCCCAAGGCCGAGAAGTACCAGTTCCAAGGGAAAAACTAAAGCTTTTGTGCCTCAGAGGGAAAAAAAAGCACACAAGTGTTTCAGCTCAGCTTTATGGAAAATGTGGCTTATGCAGGAATATGCTGCCCATTTTCACGCCTTCCTCTTGCAAGCACCTTTTCAACTCTAGGACTGATTTCAACTAAATTCGACAGCAGAGGTATTTCAGGAACAACTAGGGTTTTTATCAATTTCAAGATGCAACTATAGATTTGAAAGAAACTCCCTGTGTGCTTGTATCACTGCCTGTGAGAGACTCTAGGAAAGAGACTATATAAACACCTCCCAAACAGTTCAGTTAGAGATTAGGATTTCCTACACTGAAATAAAGCAACAATCTGGTACAGATCTGCAAGGAACCAGACTACAGTAATACTAGTTCCCACAGAACTGGTAAGTCCTTACTCCTGAAAGGGTTTAGCATCCAGCAAGAGGTGTAGCTGTAGAAGAAGGAAAATCTTTCCACATTTTCCTTGACTTGACTAGAAACAGAAGGCAAACAGTGTCTCTCAGATTCAGAGCCTATATTATTTTTTCTTAATATTTTTTCTTTTTTCCTTTCCAGAGTAAGAACAAACAGGTGCACTGGTGCTCAGGGGACCCTTATGCTGAGTCAGGTATAACCTCACCTGTGAAGAATCAGCTATCAGCCTCCTAAAAATACACTTTGGTGCTCTGACTCCTACTTAAATAAGTTTTCCCAGACTCGACTTCAGGATTGAGCTTCTCCCTGAAAAATAGGTGGGGCCATGGGGGAGGCATTAGAATGAAAATGCTGACTGGGTCTAGATCTCAGCAGGGTTTTACTTTTTAAGGATAGAGGTCTTAATGTGCTTCTCCCAGTGCAAGGGCACGGTGATTAAAAAGAACCCTTTGGTGCTTGTAATGATTTGTGAGGTCAGTAGATGGCTTTGGCTACAGCAGAAGATGTGACAGAATTATACGGAAAGCTGAGGCAATCTGTTTCCTATCTCTCAGAAGAAAAAAACAAACCCAAGAGAAATATCTTACAAGTAGATTAAAACAAGAAGCTAGCCCTAGGAGAAGAGTCTAGGGAAAAAGGATAAAGGAATAAATCCTGTGGGAACGAGATGGTCTGTCCTTCCTACTGGCTTAACTGGTCCTTCTCTTTGCTTCCAGCTTCTTTTAGGATTGTTTTTGATTCTTTTAAAAATCCAGAAAGGAAGGGACAACTGAGGGTCAGTTGCCTTGCAGAGCGTTCCTGGGAAAGGGCAAACTGGCAGTGCAAATTTGGATCAGAAGTAGCTCTGGAAGGGAGATCGGAATGGGAGGGGTGTGAAACCTAAATGCGAACCGAAGGAGATGTCTGGACAAGAACTAGCTATGGTACCAAGCCAAATGGGACATTGCTGGGGCAGCGACGCTTTAGCTCAAAGTCTCCTTTGAGGTTCATGAAGGACTCCTGGGACTCAAGAGCTCTAGTTCTGTTTAGAAACTGGTCATCCCCCAAACACCAAAAATAACCCTGGCCTGACTTAGCCAGCAGCCCCTGTTGCAACTATACTAGACTCTGTATGAGTCAGGAAGAAAACTGTAGAAGAGGAAGGGAAAGGACAGCACTGTGTGGGCTGCCGCAGGGTGTGGTGAAGAAAGCACAGTCTGCTACCACCTTCCGAGGTAGCATCGTTACCCGACTCTCATTTAAATAAGTTTTTCTGGACAAGTTCAAGATTCACTTGCCCTCTGAAAAGTAGGTGGAACTAAGGGGGAGGCACTTAGAAGAGAAGCATTGCCTGGCATCAGGGTGGCACAGATCTCATCGGGGTTTTGCATTTTATGGCTAGAGGTCTTAGTGCGTTTCCTTCAGTGGAAGAGCAGAGTGACGAGGTGCAATGCAGGTTTGATCTTACCTTGATGGGAGTGGCGACTTCTGGGCTGGCTACCACTAAAGGAGAGATTAACAGCATGCCTGAAAACTCACTGGGTCTCTCACTAGCTGTCAGAATGGAGATGGCTCCCCCCTGCAATGCAAAATAACAGCCCACAGCTATAATACAAGTGTCAACATCTCATTTGTATAGTAATCTTGTTACTGGAAGGTGTTTAGTCCAAATAAGCAAGTTATTTCTGCTCCAGTGAGAGTGCAGTGTGGTCAGTGAGGAAGGCTGGAGGAGCAGGGCCACTACAAGCATCTGGTTCTTGTCAGGGAGAAGAAACTGGTTTTCTGTTATTTTGCTATAAACCCTCATGTTACACTGAACTTGACTCTCTGTGCAATGTCCGGCAGCTCCCTAGGATGCCTTGTGTCTTCCTCAGTTAAAAGGACTAAGGAGAAAATCTCCAAAGCGGTAGTTCAGGTAGGACTTGAAAAATAAGTTATAGGCTCTGTCGGTGTGACAGATGGGTGCTGCATCAGGAGGATGCTGAGAAGCTGGGCTCGCTCTGTGCTTGTGGCACTTGTAACCTGGGCAACAGCAACACTGCCATCCAGCATGTGAAAATCTTCACTAATTACTGGAAGTTAAATATTCTCCTCTTCAGTGTGCCCAGCCCCAGAGCGCTGTGCCCAGGGCCCGACAGCGAGCGCCTAGCCCGTGGATCAGAGTGTGAGGGCAGGGGTTGGTGGGGTGAGGCAGATAACAAGGGAACTGGCTGGCTTGCTCAGGAAAGTTTGCAGAGGATTAGTTTCCAAGGGGAATATTTGGTGAAATTCCACGCTGCTGGAGAACCAGGGGCTTGTTAAATGGAGCAGCAGCGAGATGCATCTCAAAGACCTCACTGGGAAATTAGCTCCTTGTTACAGCAGCTTTGGAGCACAGCGAGCACTTCAGAGCATGCCATGCCTTCTTATGCAAGAACACTTGTTTATCTGAGCATGGGCTGAATCCCAAAGTACTCATTCATTTTCTTCTCCTCCAGGAAGGCAGGGAGAGCAGATCAATGACATCGGTGGGAATACTGCTAGCCTGAATAAAGGGATTTGGCCCGTGCTGTCAGAATCAGATTTCAGATCTGTTCACCAAATCAGTTCCTTTGTTTTTGCAGCCCTAATCCCTGGTACATTTTCCTGTTAGGTTGTTTAACAGAATGAGGCTACAGGGTATTTTCGTGCTTCATCCCCTAGCTGCTCACAAAGCTTTGGAGGGCTTAAACTCCTAGTAAAAATGAAAGAAGCCCAATGTTGCAAAGAGGTGGTGGGACTTGCCATGTACCCAGTGCGAATGAACAGTCCTATTAAAAAAATAGACCCATTGTTGCAAATGGCACTAATTAGGGCTCTGATCCAGGTAGAAAAGTTAAGGACTGACTGTGCTCAAGACAGATCTCGTGGGGTAAGGCATGCTGGCAAATCAGCCAGGGATTGAAGTGGAAGGGAAGGTTGCTTGTAGTTTTGCTTTTGCTACGGCACGTGTCCTGGGTGCTGCCGGGAAGGGTAGGGGATGGTGCTTACCATGGAGTGCCCCAGAATGAGAATGGGCAACTCGGGGTGCTCTTTCTTCATGAGATCAATGTGCTGCAAGCTGTCCCTGATGAAGACGTGGAAATCTGAGACCACCATACGATCACCCTCACTCTGCCCATGGCCAACTGTAGGGGAAAAGGAGAGCATGCATCCAAGTCATTTGAAACAGTGACTGCAATTGAGAAAGGCTTTAGCAGAGACATGCCTCTTTAACTTTCCTAACTTAACCTTCTCCTGCAGTCATCTCTCAACAGAAAGAGTGCTGCAGAAATACAAAGGAAGCTGCACAGAGCTGTTTAAAAATTGCCACATTGTCTATACTCTGAGTTAAAAAAACCATAAAATCTTATATTTCCTTGTGCTTCTACCTGCTCTTCAAAACTAGGAGTACTGATCTAACTCTTGCAGCTTTCAGCGTCAGGGTGAGGAGAGCACAGGGGCTCTCTTGCCTTGCTGTAGAGATGGTGGGTCATTGCACTCTGGGAAGCAGATTTGTGCCCCAGGGATCATTGCTGCTGGGGTCTGGTGGCTCACTGTGCTGCAGGAACTGTGGCATGGAGTCTTGGCAAGAAACACAAAAATTCTGAAGACTAGATATGGTTGCTATAAACTTAAGGGGCCATGGACACAGACTTTTCCAGTGTCTGCGTGTGCATGAGCTTTGCAGAGTCCTGCCTTTTCTCACTGAAGCCTCTCAGCAGAAGAGGCCAAGTGATGGTGGTTGCACCAGCCCGCACTGGGAAAGTATCAGGGGGCATGCTCCTCCTAACCAAGCATTACTGCAAACTGTACTGCACCAGGACACTGTTAGCTCATTCTGTATCTGGGAATTATCTTGTCTGATCAAAGGGAAGGGAAAGACTAAAAAGGGAGATGGTGAGTTGCTATGGGAACAGCGGCATCCCTGGCAGAGGTGGAGCCAGCATCCCCACAAACACGGTCCCAGGCAATTTTGAGCTTGCAAAGGCTTGAAATTAATACCAGCTTGGGGAAGCAGTCTGTACGTTTACCTGACCACACATACATGTTATTATCTATCACAAGTAGACTTCTTCCTTAAAAACAGTCTCCTTGCTTGTTTCTGTTCCATGCAGGTTGTTAAGGAAAACTGTGAAGGGAGAAACACATCCCATCCGTGTGGGTCAGGGTATAGGGAGTCTCAGACAACATCTCCCTCCTGCTGTGTGTCTCCCTAGGCCTTCTGCAGTGGGCACTTGGGCATACTTAAAGGCACAAAGGGGCAACGATTTATTTGTCAAAGGATATGAAGTGCCTGACAATTGTTTACATGCTAGACAGTACCCCCTCTAGTGATCAGCAAAGAAAAGCATTGCCTACCCAGCCCGAAAGGTAAAGGTTTTTCAGGTAGATCTGCTGGCAATAGTCATACCAGAAGAAATTGGTATGTTGAAACTTAATTTTCTTGTAAGCCATCCAAAAAAATCACCTTGCAAATTAGGCAGAATTCTTAATAGAAAGCTGGACTAAATACACTCCAGCTCAGAAAAACTGAACTCTAAACTTGTTCTTCTTCTGTCCTGCCAATTGCTCTCCAGAGCTGGGTCTCCTGGCAGTGAACACTGCAATCAGCTATGCTGGCTTCCAGATAAACCCATAGATGTCATGCTGGTCAATTATAAATAACATATTACTGGTTCTGCTTTCCACGTATACACTATGATTCCTGCCAAAATATGATATAGCAAGCATCCTCCATGGATCAGTGATCAGGAACAAATCGAAAAGCCAATTAAAATACAAGTTGCAATAAGCTACAGAAGTGAAGCCATGTGTGTGGCTAGCGGATCTATTAACTTTAAACTGATCTTTATTACAGACGCAAAGTGAGCTTTTCCCAACTATTGTACATGTCCAGTCCACTCACTTTGTGGACCTCAAATGCATTATCTGCCTATTATTTAAACTTCACATTTAGCACGTTAATATGGGTTGAATAGAGAGAGGAACATTTTCTCTTAGCAGAGCTCTGCACTTCCACTTCTTTTTTCCTCTAGTGCTGCTTGCACTTGCTTCTAGTACCTCCTTCTCTACAGTGGCTGTGTAAGACAGCTGAGCAAGCAGAAATAGCAAACCCCTGTGGTCCAGGTCTGTATATGGGCCATGCCTCCCTGTTATGGAGCTGTGAGGCTTTGCTCTATTTTTGGATGAGACAGAGGTAGGTCTGGAAAAGCTCCTTGGTGCTCAGCATAGAGCAAATCCCCTGGTCTTACCACGTAACAATGATACTGCTCATAACAGAGTTATGCTTGTGGAAGCCAAGAAATAGCCATGCAATAGCTGTGACAAGCATCTCATTGGATTTCTGCAGGGTTTGGGTTTTTCATTAATAACTTAATGAACTCATCTTTTGACCCTGCTTTTAATTGCTAAACTGCTGCTCCCCACTCAGATGGCACCGAGCAATGCTCGAGGAGCAGTTTGTCTGCACATCTGGTAAAGGAACTATGCAAGTCTTTGCTTTGATACTACCTCTGCTCCTTGCACAAGATTAGCTGGATTGCATTGGTAGGTTGTGTTCTTTATTTTACTTTTTTCCTCTCTGCCCCGCCAAGAAACCAAACTTACTCCACCAGAAAATGAGTTTATTGCATGTTTGAATCTCCCAGCTGAGAAAGCTTCAGGGTGAGGAACTAAGACCTCTTCTATTAGGTGAAAACTCAGTACAGTCAGATATATTGACATGTTTTTCTCTGATCTTTTTCCTTTAAAGCTGTTAAGAATGAAAGGTCACGTTCATCCTTGATGTGAAGCTATTTGCTTTGGGTTTTGCTGGGAATGAACCTGACGTAGTGGTTCCACAGTGTCAGTGGCAAGACAGTGGGTGCAAGAGGAGGGGAACCTCCTGCACCCTGGAACTGGATCTAAACAGAGGCAGAGCCAAGTGACACATCACCACGGGAGATGACAGAGAAGTGTCACAAGAATCACAGCTTCATGACTTCCTCATCACAACACTCCTCCCGGGGCCCTTGGTTTCAACAGGGCACTGTGAGGTTATAACCATGAAATGCTCCTCTGTAAAGAGCTGTGATTGCCAGTGCACATCTGCATGGCAGACTTAGTTCCCAAAAACTGTCAAACAGCTTTAAATATCTATTTGGCTTCACATCCAGCTTGTGTGATGGCTCAATGATCGACCATTTCAGGTTGCGTACACTGAGGTAATCGTGGACACACCTTCCTAGATCTGAGCCTTTAAAAATGAGAATCCAATCCAGAATTAGGAGGTCTAAGCCTCCATTTCCAATCAAATACTCCACCGCAAAATAACATACTTCACTCACAGACTGAATAAAGGCTGCAATGTTCTGGCCCAATATGTAATAGTTATTAATTTCTGCCCTCTATATTTTCTGCATGAGCTTGCTAAGACTGCAGCTCTCCCACCACAGAAACCAGAACAGTAATTCATTATCAGTCAATCCTGTTGGAAAGCATGACTTCAGAGCATGATTTCACCTATTATTATAGGTCTTTCACAGCTACACAACTCTCTGGATGGAAGAATACTGACTGGCTACGCAGGACGACAAAGCTGAGGGTTCAGTAATGAAACATTTGAGAGTGTGAGAGCTCTGGGAAGCGCGTTATGAGCATGTAGGTATCACTCTGGCTGCATAATGGATCCTGTGGCCCTGCAAATGCATACTTCTACATGTCCCTCCATTCCTCAAATCTCATATCTTCTTGTGCTCTGGGGCTTGCCTTTGAAAACCACTCTGAAGCAGCCAGACTCTTCATCTGGCATTGGCTCATGCACCTCAAAAAATGTTACATCCTGGTCAGATTGGAGATATGCTGAAAAAAAATAAAAAGCACAATGCAATGTGACACTCCCTTCCTTTCAGTAAAGGCCAAGTGGGAACTGCCTGAAGAAATGAGCACCCCAGCTCTGGGTGTTCTGGGCAGACTCATTTCAGATGAGGTGAGGTGTGCTGGGCATCCACTGACATGATGCTTTTTTTGCTGAGGCTATGGGGCAAAATCATAGCTGAAGAAATACATCCTTAAATACACTAAATAAAACCAACAGGGCAGTAGGCGAAGAGGAGAGTCTGACAGTGCCTGACTCTGCACACCCCCATTAACACCCAGCCCTCCAAGGCACTGCAGGATGGATGAGCGTGGCAGTACACCTTGTCCACCCTTGCATATTTGCACATTTTTTGTTCTAAACACTGACTTTTCTATGGCATGCACTATACATATATCTTTCCCTTTCCTACTGTCAAACCCTCCCAAAAATGCACAGCTCGACCCTGCACGCTCAGGTGTGGACTGAATCACTCCTCAGAGCTTCATCAGGAACATTTTTGCTACGGAAGATGAGGTGACAGGGGAAATGCAGGGTCAAAAGTTGACCTCAACTATGCTGCTGTAAATTTACTGATTTCAGTGCTGTTCCTTAAAGCTTAAGTCATAGGAGAGCAGAAATTATGGGCTATGCTGTTTTTTCATCCTTTGGTCCCTATTTATTATGGAAAACCCATAAAACAGAGAGAGAGGACATGAGAAACCTGCCTGGGGAGCAGTAATTCTCCAAGCAGAATCTGGATCTTGACTTTTCACATATTTTGATGTTTCCAACTTTAGAGTAAAGGGAATGGTTGGAATCTGTTTTATTCCTGAAGGCCTCTGCCTCTGTTTTCTGCCCCAAACTGGAGACAGGATGGGCTCCTCCCTGGTGCTGGACACTGCAGCACGTGGCAAGGTGAGCCCTACCTCACCCTTTTTTGCAATGCTGCTGGTGAGAGACATGGAAATAGTATGTCCTCCCTGCTGCTAAACTATCTGGGTTAGGGAAAACACCATAATTAAAAGATCTCATAGGTGCTTTCACTCTGCAGGTGGCTCACACAGCAGAGCAATGCTGGATCTCCAGCCTGTGGGAAGGAGATGCCAGTGACAGAAATCTGGATGGCTCCTCTGGCATGCAAGGTGAAAATATCCAAAACCTAATCCCCCTCCTGTGATCTTCCTGAGCTGGTGGCAGCTTGCTCAGGTGGGGACCTCGCTGTGGTGGTCCACAACCTACCCTGCGATCGCGCTGCTATGGGAAGGGACTATTTCAGCACCTCATTTTAACATCCGAACCCCATAGACT